TGATTTTCTTTCTTACTGATCATAATGATCATGATGATGGTGATAATGATGATGATGATGATGATGACGATTGTGGTGGTGGTGGTGGTGATGATGATGATGATGATGATGATGATGATGATGATGATGATGATGATGATGATGACAACGACGATATAGATGATGATGATAATGCCACCTACTTTTTTGTGGCCTGGTATATGGGCTCGGTGGTGAACCCACATTCGTGCTCATGACCTGATTAATACCAGGTTCCTCTCTGTAATGCTATGTAGTTCCACTTTAGGAATGTACCCCTTTCCAACCTTTCTCTTTGTCTTCATCCCCCCCACCCCCCCCAAGAAAAAACAAAGAAGAAACCCCTAGAGAGGACACGGAAGCTCCGCAGTTGTGTGAAAAAAAAGGAATGGAAAGGTAAAAATGAATCTATTGGCGGGGAGTTTTCTGTACTTGCGTGGATTGTCGAACAATGGGCTTCGCTCCTGTACGCACCGGACAGTTGGCCTCGCTCCACTACACACCGAGTGTGCAAAATGAGAATCCTCTAGAACATTGCGCGAATAATAATGGAGTGAGGCCTGATATGTGTGTTAGAACTATGCTAAAATCCTCATAATGTAGTTGGGTCCTCTCAGACACGGACCTGATCTGATACGTTTGAGTTCTGTGTATTCTTTGATTTCTTCATCATAATCATTGACAATGCCATGATGGTGATCGTTATCATCATGATGAGGATGATGAGGATGATGAGGTGGTGCGTCTCTTTTCATTGTTCGCGGGGATTGTGGGGATTAAGGGGGCTCGTTCCCGATTCAAATTTCGAAATTCGAATTTCGGCAAGCGACCGACGGCGGCGTAGGCATCCCTTGTGCCTGACGGCAGCAACGTTTGTCGCCGGAAGCGTCTGGGTACGGGGTGACGGCTGCGTGTCAGCGGGCACGCCGAACGTACATGTACATGTCCGAGGCACCAGACACGCTGTCACACGATTGCCATCGTTGTCGTCTATGCAGGCCCACCTTTGTCGTCGATGTCTATGTCGTACACTCCGGTCGTCACTCGCACCATCGCTGTTGTGGGGCCCGACGCACGTGGAGTCTTCTGTACTTGGCGACGCCCATGTCGACAGTACCAGTTTCAGCGATGGACATGAACGGGGAGGCGGGTCGTGACACAATGAGCAAGGCGGGAAGGACGACGGTGGCAACGACCGTGAACGCCATCCTCTTTTGGTGTCAATTGCAGAGGAACGAGGGGAGGCACCCCTTGACACAGACGACGACTAGAATTGCTGCCTCAGAGGATGCCTATTGTTCCCCGACGCCACCTAAACCAATGCTGGAGACTTTGATGATCGTACAACAACAGGCACTTGCCCACCATCGTTGTCGGGATGGGGGTTTACGATGACCGTTCGCGAGGGGGCCGACGACCTCCCGCTACACAGCCGGAATGAGAGATTCACGCCGCCATCACCTTCATCGCCGCTGAGCCCCTGCTGGAGATGTTCGGTGTAGGACTGCCGATAAGCGCCGTCGCGGCTTCCACACAGCTCTGTAGCTGCCCACTCCTGGGTGGACCCACTTCCCCGCAGCACGGTCTGTGACCGTCTGTCATCCGCCCCCTCGTCGGATGTGTCCGACAGAGGTTGCAAGTGCGGTGGTAGGTGCGCGTACCCAGACCGCTCCGATGGCCTTGATTTTCTCGACGGGCTTTGCCCAGCCCGCTGGCCACCACCCTGCTCCCCTGCAGACCTGCAGATCCCCGGGCGCCCCTCCATCCTGACGTCCTTCTTCAAAGACTGTCTTCTGCAGGCAGGTTGCGGAACGCTGCCAAGGATGCACACATGGAAGACAACTAAAAGGAGGAGCAAGAGAACGACCAGCACCAGCAGTTGCAGCCTCTGAAAGTCGTTGGCCATGAAAGGCACATGGACGACGGCAGCAGCAAGAAGACAACAGTGGACGTCCAGAAAATGGTGAGGGACAGTGGTGCAAACAGCCGATCGCATCTATCGACAAAAGAAGGGTAATGTATTCCGTTGCTTAAGACACTGCGCAATCGGGAGAGCGGGGGTCGGCTGAAGTATTCGAAGCTGCGGACCGTTGGGCGCCGGCTTCCCGCTCGGGGCCAAGGGCGGCGACGCAAGACGGCCCATTTTCGATGTTGCGGGGGCTGGCAGATCGCCAACGGGGACTGTTGGCGGACAATTCCATGATGCCGACCGTTGCCGACTGAAGATGTCCGTCGACGGGCCGCCAGGAACAGCAATGGACCAGCTGCGTCGAAAAATGTTGTCTTGAGAGCTGCCGTCGACACCCCGATTCTTCCGGATGGTCGACCTCTGAGGGACCTCGGGAGGTCCCTCGGGGAACGTGTCGAAATAGCTGTAGCCCGAGGAATCCCAGAGGAAATGTTTTCACTTTTTTTTTTCGATTTCTTCCCCGAGGATAAGTGGAACGATGAATTCCTCGGGGGATTTACGTGCCCGCGGAGTGTCAAACGAGCCCCTAGGTTGGTTATGCTACATGGGCTCGGTGTTGAACCCAAATCCGAGCTCATGGCGTGTTGACTAACAGGTCTCTATCTGTCATGCTATGCGGCTGCCCTGTGGGAAAGCCCCTTCCCAGCCCCGCTCACAATCCCACCGCCAAAGGATGTGTCACATCACGGGCCCTTCGCCGCTTCGGCGAAAGTAACTTCCTAATGTTCCACCGACTTGAAGGGAGCATGGCGGAAAGAGCAGAGAACAGCAGAGCTGCTATTCGTGCTATCACTTTTGTCTCATTTGGCAGCGCGGTTCTGCTGTACTCTGCTCTTCCTCCTATGCTCCCTTCTCTGGCATTTGTGCTCTTCTCTCCCCTTCTGTGCCCTTATCTTCCCTTCTCTGACACTGCAAGTAGACAAAAAAGGGATAATCGGTAGAAGGCGCCCATGCCAAAACCTTTTCGGTTTTGGCCGCCCGAAGTTTAGAGGCTCTGCACACAGGCTGTCCAATGTCGAAAATTTTCAACAGGTGTCAGAAACTTTTCAACAGTTTTCTACAGTCGAGCGGTCCACAATTTCCCCCCTCTTTGCCACATAGCCTGTCGAGGGGCAAGGTTTTTGGTCATGGCCAGGCGGACGGTTGGCCTGTCGAGGGGCAAGGTTTTTGGTCATGGCCAGGCGGACGGGTGCACAGTCCCTGACAATGCAAACTCGAGCCTGACAAAGCAAATGTGAACGCAATTTTTGAAAGGTAGGCGGACCACTGTCGAATTTCCGCCACCTGCAGGCTGGTGGAAAAGGTTGATGGAGGGCGGCTGTCAAAAGGACCATTCTGACACCTGTCAAAAGTTTTTTGAGCCGCAATTCTTTGAAAGTCTGTGTGCTGATGCAAAATTTTCGAAAACCTGGTTTTCGACAGCCTGTGTGGAGAGCCTCTTAGCCGTTTGGTACTACCAGTCCAGTGACTTGCATGCGAGGTATGCTGCAGATTCGTGATCCTGCAGTGCCCTTGGAGCGATGCGTGGGCCTGTAGTACCTCGCATGCAAGTCACTGGGCCTGTAGTACCAAACAGCTAACAGGCTCGCCACACAGGCTGTCAAAAACCTGGTTTTCGACAGCCTGTGTGGAGAGCCTCTTAGCCGTTTGGTACTACCGGTCCAGTGACTTGCTTGCGAGGTATGCGGCAGATTCGTGATCCTGCAGGGCCCTTGGAGGGGTGCGTGGGCCTGTAGTACCTCGCATGCAAGTCACTGGGCCGGTAGTACCAAACCGCTAAGAGGCTCGCCACACAGGCTGCCGAAAACCTGGTTTTAGACAGCCTGTGTGGCGAGCCTCTTAGCCGTTTGGCACTACGGGCCCAGTGACTCGCATGCGAGGTACTACAGGCCCACGCATCGCTCCAAGGGCCGTACACGATCACGAATCTACGACATAACAGCGCCAGATTCATTTTGATGTAAAAGAGGCCGGAGGTGGTACCACTGAAGTATCGAATGAGGCCCACTAACGCTATTTTGAAAACGAAGGGCCCGACGGGTTCATGAATCTGGCGCAAAAACAGCGCCAATTTCTTAAACCGGTAAAAAAACAGGCCCAGGGAGATGTGGCCACGGCGCGAAGGCGCCTTTCACCCAGGCCGAAGACGTTTGGGCCGGTAGCAGCAGACGGTCAAGTTTCCGGCGCCCAAAACCGAAAAGGTTTTGGCGTGGGCTCTTTCTACCAATTATCCCGACAAAAAAGGCATGACTTTCAAGGTTGAACCTGCTTATCCATAAAAAAGAAAACGAAAAAAAGAAAGATACAAGAAAGAAAGAGAGTGTGTGTGTGTGTGTGTGTGTGTGTGTGTGTGTGTGTGTGTGAGAGAGAGAGAGAGAGAGAGAGAGAGAGAGAGAGAGAGAGAAGTTGGTGGGAAATCCTTTCACCCTGGCAACCTGCTGTAAAAATTGTACTCGAACACCTCTCACTCGTCCCAGCACGAGACGCCACGACAAGAGAGGGGCGAAATTGCTCCTACCTCCACAATTAGTCAGCCCATTGGAAACGTGACCTTCCACGTCCAATCAAAATGAAATCGCGCAAACCAAGTCTGTGTCTGTCTTTGTAGCACACACACACACACACACACACACACACACACACACACACACACACACACACACAGAGAGAGAGAGAGAGAGAGAGTCTGAGAGAGAGAGGTGGTGCCACTTGTTCGAAGTTTCTTTGGGAACGATCATCGTTAACCTTCTACAGACAAACTGACTGTACTATTACCGGTTGAACCTGAACCCCAAATCAGCAGCTCGCGACGCGCCCCAGGTCACTCCTAATCGGACTGCCTCTCGAACTGCCTCCGACCAGTCTCTCGGACCCTAGACTCACCTTTCCCACTACCAGTCGCCTCCCAACCGGCCCTTCCCTCCCGTCCTTCTTTGCCGCCTCCCAGACTAGTAGCTCACGTCCGCCATGCCTTAGCATTTCTCCCAGACGAGATTCCAGACTTGACGGAAGGAGAAATCCTGAGAGTCAATTCCGACAATTCCGTTACCCTTGGCCGGACACCCGGGGCCAGGGGTCACCCGGGCTTCCGAGGCGAGAATGAGGTCCCTGGACACGCCGCACCTGCTGTAAACCAGSGTGAGGAACTTGTCCGTGACTTCGAAGTTCTTCTCGASCACTCCTGTGAACTTGCGCACGAAGCGAGCCGTCCCTGGAAACCCGGAGAAGTAGTACCACGTCTGAATGGTCGCCACGGCGCCCGCATCGAGCTTCACGTACCCGCGCATTGTGACCGTCCCCACCGACACGATAAATCCTCTGGGATACCTCAGCTTGAYSGTTACCACGCAGCTCCGTYTCCGRTCCGCCAGCAATTTGTCCGTSGTRGCGTAGTAYYTGCTGWACAYGACCGTCAGCGCCTTCCCGTCGTTSGAGATGYCGCCGACAGCAGTCCCSGRAGGACAGCCGCTGCCCGCATAGCTGAGCGAATCAATYTTCACCGTTCCGGGCGGCGGACAAGTGGTAGCGGCTCCTCGGGCGGCCAGCTGGAGGAGCAGCGGCAGTAGCAGCAGCAGMATCGCCATTGCCGCAGTCGGACAGACAGATTGCTGTAGTGGTGCTCTCCTCACCGACCTCACGACCACCTTCACCTCCCTCGTCTTCGAGCGTCTTCCGAGTTTCGTTCGACAGCGGAGGGTCCTCCCGTCTTCCGTGTTGCCTTTTTGGTGACAGTATTGAGGTAACCGGATGTATTTATAGGTAGGTAGTTACTGTAAACTTGCTCGCTATTTCGTTTCGAATGGACTCCGTCTTCCTCCTCCAGCACTAGACACCCTGATAAGGGATGCATACAAGCTATCTTTCCGGTCCTGTGCAGCCGAAATTAAGGTGCGTTGTGTTCGGGGGACCACGGCAGAAGCCGGAGGCCATTGGAAATCATCCTGAAGTGGTTGCTGACCTTCTTTAGCTCTTGGAAACAGAGGTGTTTACGACAACCAAAGCTCCGGAAAGGATGTGGCACGCCGTGCACTCTGAGCAGAGCTGTGGCGCGCGAGGCCCTAGTGTCGTGGAGGCGGCCGTAAGCAAAGGTGTTGCAAACATCCAAGCTTGGACCTCGCCAGATGTCTAAACGGGGGTGCTTACGAGGACCTCATAAGGATCGGAAGGCTACGGTAGCGGGAACAAAGGGTAATTACAATACAAGGGAGTCACAAAACGAGCTATAATTGCACTATGGGGCAAGATACAGTTTGCAATTGCCCTTCTGGCAACCTAGCTGGCTAGAAAGCTGGGTTGCAAACGGGTATATCTTGGCCCATACTGCAATTATAAGTTACAACTCGTTTTTGTGACTCCCGCGAAGTTTCCCCTAGAAGGAGTACAATTAATTCGCGGCTCCGCGGCGCAATTCCCGGCCGCCAATATGTTTTGCTGTGAAACTACGGCGACGCGCTGTTTTCGTGATCATGTTCTCTGCAGCTGCGCCACGTCGTTTCGCACTCGCCTCACTGCGTTCTGGTACTCGCACAAGCACTTTCCCGTGAGAGGAATGCCAACCGGACGATGACCTGACTGTAATCATATTCCCAGCTCAGCCAAAAAAGTTCTCGTAAAAAACAAAACAAACAAAAAAAAAAAAAAAAAAAAAATTGTCGTGTGAGGAAAGCTCCTGACACTGCCGAGCCCAGTTTCAGACGAGGCGTTGGACGATCTGGGACCGGACCAGGGGCTAGGTCCCACTTAAGCGAATTAAGCGATATTGACCGTAGATAGCAAAGATCAACGGCCAGAATCTCTTAATCCGTGCAAGTGGGACCTTGCCCCAGGAGCAGCGGTCTCAGGCCGCCAAGAACCGCGAACATTCTGCATACCTGGGTGGGCTTTCTAAAGGTATACTCAAAATTCCGAAAGTCGTGGCACAGCAGTGATTCCAATTCGAATTACGGCTGGGTTGTAGGCGGTCTTTCATCAGCTGGGTTGTCCAATTCGAATATCCTTGGGGACGTCCGTCAAAATTGGAGCCATGCAGAGAGGATGAGGACGGCCCCTGCCCAAGGGTGAAACGAATAAATTGAGAGGAATTACATCCCGTCAATATTCCTCGCTTCTTCCCCATTAAAAAGAGCTAAATAGGGCTCCGAGGGCAAAAGAGAGACATTGATAGGGGATTGCTTTTTGTGGAATTCTCGGAATTTTCCGCGTCTCCGTTCTGGTACTGGGTATTTTGGATTGCTCTTTGGTTGAGCCAGTTCGACCGTTTTTTTTGGGGAAGATTGCAGATTTGAACCCGGTTTCCGGCACAAGCCTGTGCTGCTTGAGAGCCCCAAATAATTCCATGTTTTGTTTTGTTTTTTTTAAAGCAAATAATTCCATGTTGAGATCTTCAGGAACTCCCGGCCTCAGGCTCGATATATATATATATATATATATATATATATATTAATTTAGTATCGTGTGACCCGATGGGCCACATATCAGATATTAATAATTAAACTGATCAGAACAGACACTACACTTGATCTTAGCCAAAAGGCCGAGAAAGGTATTGCTCGAGATTATTATAATATAAAATGCAACATCCTTTTTTTTTTTTTGAAAGAAAAAAGAAAAGAGCTGATTGTAATAATAAAAGAACAGGAAGTTCTACAGAGTCTTCTGTCAAGAATAAGTACACCAATCTGAAGTCGAAATGCACAAAATCCTTCCCGGCCCTTTTTTCTTTGTTTACTTCTTTTGTGGCTGAGATCGTTCATTGGGGATTTGTTTTCTCCCACCTGAAATTAATCGGATGCCATCAGCATCCCAACTCCGCACCTTTGCTGAACCTGGTCATCAACAGCTGTGTGTATATGTGTGTGTGTTTGTGCGTGTGGGTGGGTGTGTGTTTGTGTGTGTGNTGTGTGTGTGTGTGTGTGTGTGTGTGTGTGTGTGTGTGTGTGTGTGTGTGTGTGTGTGCGCGCGCCATGAAGGGGCTCGTTCGACACTCCTCGGGCGCCTAAAGTCCCTGAGGAATTGTTCGTTCCACCTATCCTCGGGGATGCAGTCGGAAACCAAAAAGTGAAAATACTCCGAAGGAAATTCCTTGGGCTCCGAGGATTCCCCAGCCATTTCTTCCTTTAGCCCAAGGGACCTCACGAGGTCCCTTGGGCAAAACGAATCCGTGTTTCACGGAGAGGAGCGGGCACATGGGTAGAGAGATGTTACAACCGAGAATCTGGATCGTGCCAGCACCCTATTGGCTGAAGGCCTCAAACACATTTGATTTTTTTTTCTTTTCTTTTTTCTTGTCTGACATCGTTCGAAGGAAATGTCCTCGGGCGATGTCCCCGAGGACAGGTGGAGCGATGGCGGGAATTTCCTTGAAAATCCCCAAGGAAACTTCCTTGGGCCCCGAGGACACCCCAAGGAGTGTCAAACGAGCCCCGAAGTCTCATGCGCTGGCGGAATGCGGACCTCCCAGGAAGAAGAGAGGACGAAGGAAACGGAGCCAATGACCAACTGGCAGCGGGCTCAACAAGCTGGACAGATATTCGTTTACTTTTATTTTCCTTTTGGAAAACTCCCATTGCGAATCACAACAGGGGAGAGGTCGGGGAGAACGGAGATTCTTTCTCTTCTCTCCTCTTCCGTTTTCTATGGCTTCGCTACACCAAACGTGAAACTTCACAACAAATATTCGTCCTTTTTTTGTACTGTTTCTTTTTTTAAACCCCATATAGACCACGGATCAGATATAAACTGATCAGATATCAAAACGAGAACGAGTATTCGGGTAGAACATGGAAAGATATAACCCCATAATAATTGTCGTTTTTGCATCCTCCCGGGGCCATGGTCAGCAGCAACATTGAGTGTCCTCAATGCCCGAATCTAGTCATGTCTGTGGAGATGTGCAGAAAATGGCGTCGAGTTCCCTCAACTGCATCTCCACAAACACAACCAGATTCGGGCCTCGAGGAAACTCAACGTTGCTAGCGGGACTAGGCTCTGGGTGAGTGGTCGAGCGAGGCCCTCCAAGGGTCCCTGGCTACCACAAGGGAGTCTCGAAAGTTCATTATTCCTTGTTTTTCCTTTTGTTTCCCTAAACTAGGCTATATTCCTCTCTTCTATTTCACCTTTCACTTCCTACCTATCACTACGTCTATACAGGGGACCACTGCAAGCGTAGCTGTTTCTCACTATAAAAAAGACACGAATGTGAAAAAAAATTAAAAACATTGCCCCCTACCCTGATCGGCCGTGGTCAGGGAGTAGGGTGAGCCACAAGTTTTCTGGCCTACCCTGGGATTTAGGGTCTTTAGACACTCCTAAAAGAATCCTAAAATTTTTAGGACGAGTCCTAAAGGATTTTTAGGATTTCGTGCGGCGTAGTTACATGCAATCCTAAAAATCATCTTTTAGGATTTGTCCTAAAAGGTCTCACGCAGCCGGTTTTCATATGCGTATACGCAGCCGCGTCAGCGGAGTCACCAATGTCCGTCCATTCCTGCCAATGTCCGTTTAATCCCCACCAACGGCTACCGTTCGTGGCTGTTGCCCGCGTCGACCCGCAGAAAACCTCCGATGTCCGACCATTGACCCGACGGACCGCTTCTGCACCAGCAACTCCGTGTCTACGGTGCCATGCGCGCGACGCAATGAGTCTGTGAAACGCGGGAATCCTAAATTTTTCAGTAGGTTGGGAGCTACTGGAACATTTAGGACGATTTTGCCTGGGGAATCCTAAATCCTTTAGGACTCGTCCTAACGCCGTTTTCACATTTTTAATCTCAAAATTGGATTTAGGATTGCGTTCAACCAAGACGCAATCCTAAAAACAGGCACTTTAAGCCTTTTAGGAGTGTCTAACGAGACCCTTAGAAACGCGCAACCACCTTTTTTTTTTTTTTTTTTTTTTTTTTTTTTTGGGGGGGGGGGGAATGCTTTAGTCTATTCGTGGGGAGCAGCACCTGCTGGAAACCGGGCCCAGCATCCCATGTAGAATTATACAAGTCATTTCAAATACCACGTCCATTACCTGGCTTTGGCTAAGAACAATTTGAGAACTATTAAGGAGTTCAAGGAATTTTAGGAAAAACATGGATAACTGCTGACCTATTGCTAGGCTACTCAAGCAGCAGTTACTTAGTCAAAACGGAAAGCCGCAAAAGTCCTTCGAATGCTCAGAACCCCCGGAATCCCTAACAAAACCCTATAAAATTCTCTAACACTCTCTTATTCCCTGCCAAGCTCTCCCAGGCCTCATGCCCCAACCCTGCCAGGTTACAGGGCAACACGACTCACCCCAGCTCCGGCCAGCGTCGTCCCGACAAGAACCCTTCGTTTTGCACTTGGAATGCCCGCCCCAAGGCATCCCCAAATCTCTCTATCAGGCCTCACACTCCTGCTATCAACAGGTTACAGGGCAACCCCCCAGCACCAGCCGACGTCGTTTTGGCATCAAAAGACCAAAGATCCATGAATATAACAACATCAAAGAAACCTAAAGTGAGTTGCAAGAAGTACCCAGAATCCTAAAGCATTCCCAAGACCGCCAAAAGCAACCGAGAACAACAATTTTTTTTGCAAAAATTGAGAACAAATTAGGATAATTTGGAAGACGATATAATCAAAACCACGTTACCCCAGTGC